GCTATTCCAGCTGCACTAATAATACCCACAAACGTGGTCAGCTCACCCCTCTCAGCCGATGCAACAATACTGACTTGTTTTTTGCCTTTCTCAGAGACAATCTTTACTGGCTTGAGAACTGTTGTGACACCAGTCTCATCCAAGTTAAATACTCTTTCTGGACGGAAATGGTGCTTTTCTAAAACTATGGCGTAATTTTCAAAAAAGATGCCAACACTTCTTTTATTAAAGCCGGTTGATCGAGCTAAGCTTGTATTCTCAGGCTTCCTAAGGCTAATTTCCTGTTTATTTCTGTTCATGAAGCCCTTGAGCCAATCAATTCCCGCTTTTTTGTTGGTTTCCCATTGAACGGGAATTTTAAGTTTAAGTAAACTGGCATAATCATATGCCAGCACACGAATGTTCTTATAGGTCAGCCCATAATTCATATTTGAGCAAGTTTTAACATACTTCACTAGCTCGTTTTCTTGTTCCTTAGAAAATACCTAGTTAACTGTATATTTACTAGAGTAGACTAAAAAGTCTTCTTCACTCTCTTGACCTGAGTCGTCGGCAAACTTTTTTTTTAATTCTTCAAGGTTATATTTTATTTTTAATTTCCTAATTCTGCACTGAATGGTACCTCTTTTAATACCATATACTATCGCAGCTCTGCGTTCAGATAACTGGTCATTAATATCAGCTGCTATAGCTCTTTTCATGTTATCTTCATCAATACTTGTTCTGTTTGTTTTTGTTTTGTAATTTCTAACCATCTGCAAACCAAATAATGATTAAGCCAGGCTGAATGTAGCCTGTGGGGTACATTCATCCAGGCTAAATTTAGCGTGTGGGGTGCATTCAGCCAGGCTGAATGTACCCCCACAATCGTGGCTTAATGTGCCCCATGTGCATCTTGACCAAAACACCATAAACAACTCCCGCCGCGGCGCGCCGGTTGAATTTTTAGGTTAGAAATTAATAATGTTAATAACAAGTGATGTTTTGTCTTAATGTTGCCATAAACAGTTTAAAAAAGACAACTATAATACACTTTATACTACTTAATATCCAATTTGTTTAAAACCTACCTTGGAAGCTAAAAAGTAAAAATTACTTTGTCACAAACAAACCAACCACCACTTTTACTCAGAAACTTTTCTAAACACAGAATAACTTTTATTGCTACACCTTCAAACCGCCTGAGGCGCCAAATTCAATTTTTGTCAGTTTTAGAGGGGGTGGCTTAATCTGCCCCATGGATGAATCTGCCCCCCATTCCCCTAATGTTCCTGAGCCGGACATAAGGCTTTGTTGCAATATTCCTATTTATTAAAATAAAAAAATATTTAAAATGGTATAAAACCTGTAATATTTGGATTTTTTAAATTTGTCGATAAATTATAGTAGATAATAAATTGCACCACTTTAATTTGAATTATCTCAAATAGGGGGGGGCCTGGAGGCGGGTGAGGCAACAAGAAAAACTAATTTTTTTTCGCAAACTTCAATTTAAATTATGTTTGCGCCGAACTTGTTTATTTAATGTCATTATAAATTTGGTGTGGGTCCCATGTCTAATATATTAGACATGGGACCCACACCAAATTTATACCACACCAAATTTATAATGACTTAAATAAACAAGTTCGGCGCAAACAGAATTTAAATTGAAGTTTGCGAAAAAAAATTAGTTATAACTGAGATATTGGTATACCCAAAATCCACCAGCAATATAACTTATATTGCTTATTGGTAATTTTGTTACATTACGATAAAACAAAATTACCAATAATTGGTAATTTTGTTACATTACAATAGTTTTACAATATTACGCTGCTGTTTATTGCTTTTGTTACATTACAATAGTTTCACAATGTTACGTTACTGTTATATTGCATATTGTTAATTTTGTTATATTACAATAGTTTCACAATTTTACGCTGCTGTTATATTGCTTTTGTTACATTACAATAGTTTCACAATGTTACGTATTGTGAAACTATTGTAATGTAACAAAAGCAATATAACAGCAGCGTAAAATTGTGAAACTATTGTAATATAACAAAATTAACAATATGCAATATAACAGTAACGTAACATTGTGAAACTATTAATATATATATTAATAGTTTCACAATGTTACGTTGCTGTTATATTGCTTATTGGTAATTTTGTTATATTACAATAGTTTCACAATGTTACGTTGCTGTTATATTATTTTATATTACTTTAGATTTGTTTTATTTGTTACGTTTGTTTATTTTTGCAATATAATTTTTGAACTTTACCCATAGTTGACTTAAAGATGTCTAATAGTTGACATAATTAATTGAATGTCATCTTTCATCCTTAGCGTAAAGACTTTACGGTAAAGTTGCCTAAAAGATGACTTACAGACGTCTTATGTCCCGAAGTAAGTCGTCTTTAAGCTATGTCTTAAAGATGTCTTTTCGGCATACCTAAAAGATATCTTTACGACATGTCTAAGAGACGACTTTTCGCCACCTAAAAGATATCTTTACGACATGTCCGAAAGATGAGTGTTCGTCACCTAATGTCTTTACGACATGTCCAAAAGATGTCTTTTCGGTATTCCTAAAAGTCCTATGTTCCTATGTACTTTATTGCCGATTTTTTACCATTTAGTTAAGTTCTAGTTTGTTTATTTGGCGAATGATTTTCTTAGATACAAGGAAATTATACACCAAATAAACTAACTAGAATCATTGTTTTTAGACTAAAACTAGAACTTAACTAAATCAAAAAATCGGCCCTTAATGAGACAAATAAGTCATATTTATTATTATCTTTTATTTAACATAGTTTAAAAATAATCAAAATATATAAATAAAACATAAATTTATAATGTATAATGACTATTAGTCCTCGGGCCCATGCCTAACAAAATTTTTTTGATTACCTAAATAATTAGCAAACAAAACATGTGTATTAATATTAATGCTATAGCATATGTATATACATAATGGTGGATTTGTGAAGCAAATTAAAATTATCACTAAGAAATTAAATTAACGTGGGTATTTTATGCAGCAAAATTATTGGCAAATTACGGGGGCGCCTTAAGTTTAACAAATTTGACATGAAATTTTTTGTTTGTTCATGGGTGAAATAAATGAAAATTACATATTAAAAACTGCATGTCAACCCATAGAAAAACAATAGTAAGAACACAATCATTAAACAAAAAATTAAAGATACAGCAGCACGTTTCATTTTGTTTCCGGGTACGTATGTTGCCATTAACATCATGAAAATGATAATTAATTTAGAAGATAAAAGTTGGCCATCGATCTCTACAATGGATTTAACGCTTAAATTCGCCAAATTTTTTATTAATTACATTAAACTAGCACCTGGCCGATTTTTTAAACTCCGCCCAGATCTAAAAATAAAACTGCATCTCTTTTTGTTGCTGGTTTACTGGGCCTTTAAGGTTTGGATGATAGTACCTATAGGCTCAAAATTTCGGCAAAACATAGACAAAGGGTTCGTTTTGGTTAGTTTTTTATCAGAAAATATGTAACAGAACGCTATGCGCTTGCGGTTCACTTGTAGGTGATCTGATAAACCTGCTTTTGACTCCAATCTGCTGACTCTACTCACAAGTTGGGAGTAGAGTCAGCGGATGACTTACTCGATCCCTCATCTAGAGATGTAAAAAAACGGTTTTTTTCAGATGTGAAAAAAAACATAAAAAAACGGTTTTTTTGTTTTTTCAAAATGATTTTTCATTATAGAAAATTTTGACTGAGACTAAAAAATCTGATTTCTTATTATTTGGTACTTTCCACATAAGAAACCAATAGCAATGTAAAACTTCTACAAAAATAGAAAAAATTAAAGGATAAAAAAATTCCAATTTTTTTAAGATTTTTCGGATTGGAGCTGTAAAAAAGCAATTTGAAGCTTAAAGTTTCTAGTTTTGAGGTTTGAGGTTTTTAGATGAAAAACGTGCAACGCTCAATCCTATCAAATACCGTAATAAAAAATTCGAAATATTTTTGGTCCACTGAATGTTCTGACTTAACCACCAATGAATAAATGTTCTACAAGAATTTGCTGTTGTTTTTTTGAAAAAAAAATATTTCCATACTCTACATGAATTTGAAAAATCATGAAAAAGTGCTTTTTGAAAAATCAAGCGCTGAATTAAAAATATTATAGGTAGTTACTTTTTTTTGGACCTTATTGGTCAATTCGGTGGTGGTGGCGCGCGTGCATAGCGCGAGACTGTATTTACATTTACTAAATGTCATTTAGTGGCTAATTTTAGTCCATGAACTGGACTGGAAACATAAAAAATTAGGCAAATGGGACTAATCTTTAAAAAAAACCTAAAATATGAAAAAAACACCATTTGAAAAAAGACAATGAAAAAAAAACAAAAAAAACGGACCGCTTTTCTTTCAAGTCGCATCTCTACCCTCATCCCAGTAAGTTTACGAACAAGAGTCAAGGTGATCAAGGCGAGGGGTAAACCACTTTAAAATCTTAGAGACAACCGTTCAATGTTAGTGGACGTTGTGTTGAGATTTTTTTCCTTATCAGTCGTTATCAATAAGGAAAACTTGCTTAATCGGTGCTTAATCAGTGCTTAGCGACGCGTTGTACATGACTACCCTTGTTATTGTTATCCTTAGCCGTTAATTCGTAAGAGATTTTTAATTTTAAAAAATCAGTGGTTTACCCCTCGGATCAAGGTAGTAAACGAACACCAGGTTCACTTACCTGAGTAGGTTTCCAAAAACGACAGGCAGTGACGTGGGTATAAAATGATGATTTTTTTTTAAATAGCAATTGTCAAAAGGAGGTGAAAATCAATACTAAAGTATCCATTATAATCTGTAATTTAAGGGATTAGGAGGAAAACAGATTAGTTTCTAATGTAACCTATATTTTTATTTAATTAAGCATTTAGGAGCTTTAAAGAGCTAAAAATATCATTAATTTAATAATTAACGGTTTTTTTTAAATATAGATTAAAAATACTAAAATGTTCAATGATCTTTGCGCATCTTGCAGAGATTTTGTAACGGCAACATCTTTATTTCTTCTTTTATTTTCACAACCCCTTCGTGAAGATCTATGGATAATAATTCCCCTGTCGCTTCTCTTTCTTCTCCTATTATAACCTGAAAGAAAAATATGGTAATTATTGTTTTTTTTATTTAAAAATCAACTTTACTTACCTTAAAATCGTCCCCTCTCTGCGGCCTTACGGGATCCAAATGATCGGACATAATATTGACAACCCTGTCTTCCTCCGGTAAAAACACGGAGCACATTGCCCCGGAAATGCTCCTAATAACGCCGGTTTGGCCGACCAAACCGGAATCGCCGTCGCGAATCCTAACCTCAATGTCCACTGTATGCCAATCGGTCATCGGTAGAATATCCAGACCGGCTCCGGGCGTTTGCGGGTTGTAAGCCGGACTGTAACCGGAGCTTGGGGTGTTGTATGGGTTGTTGCTGGCCGGAGATTGGCCGTAGCCAGTTCCTGGACTTGGCGTAGAGATGGCGCTTTGATAGCCTGGGCTTGTCTGGTAAGGACTGTACGTGGATTCGTACATTGTACCTTTAAAGTTTTAAAGTTATTAGGTTTTATCTGGATAAAAATCTAAAATTTACAAGTGTACACATCTAAAGCGTGCAAGATTCGTTTTTGTATTATCATCCCGCTTGCATGTACAGATGGTTAAAAAGGAGCAATATAATATTACCATTTAACCACCAATTTATTAAGAAATTCTCAGTCTTGTTTTCACCATTCTTAAAATTGAGCAAAATACAGCACTTTTAGTAAATCAATGAGAGTGCGCATTGACGCATACAGACGCTTTCCTTATACTGCCCAACTATGGAGAAAGGCAGTAACTGCTAAACAAGAAATCTGTGGAAAATTGGCATAAACTATATTTTTATAAAAAGCATAGCACAAGAAAACGCATTAAGAATTTTTTGCAGTTACTGCCTTTCTCCATAGTAGGGCAGTATAGTATATTATTAATAATAGAGACTTAAATCAATAATGCACATTATCGCCAATGTAATACCATTGAGTGGTACGGTAATACTATGCTTTTTCTACTCCAATTAAATTATTTTTATTAATAACAAAATGTATTAAAACATCACTTTCTCCCGATTTTGAAAGATTATATATAAAAAATCTGACATCTGTTAGTCAGTTCCAACATCACTTTTTCCCAATTTAAAACCCGATTGGTTCACTTCATTGTAAATCGGCCTAATCACTGTTGCCTAACAACGTAAATAATGAGAAAGGGCGATTACCCCAAAGATAATATAATATAATTTCTGTGTATACATACGAAAAAAAAAACAAATAATATCAATTATATGCAATAGAAGTAGAAAAACATTTTTTTTCAAACGTCAGTAAAATGACACTTTTTTCTACATTTCATTGAATATTAAGTTTAACTTCATTGCCATGGAAGTAAATTACTTTTATCTCTATTTGGTCCATACCATGGATATATTAAAAGAATGAACGTATAATGTCCATTGTTGTGGATTGTAAGTAAACCATCCCTGCTTAAAATACCCCATAGAGACCTATATAAAATAATCTATCGGGCGCTACCGGATTCAATATGTACATTTGTCCATGTTTTTTTCCGGATACGGCCCGATAGAAAAGGCACACCATAACATTTACATTTTCCCTATTGAGACCGATAGCAAATAACTCAATAAAGGATATATAGGGATATCCCTATAGAACAACCATCAAACATTTGAAATTTTTTTATTAAAACCTATGGGGTCCTATGGGGGAAAAACTTATTTCTACATTTATGTGTATTTTCCCCATGAAACCAATAGAAAATAAATCAAGGGTGGATATCCCTATAGAACAACCATAAATTCCAACTATGGGTCCTATACAAACCGATACACTCTATAGAAACACCATACATTCCGATACAAATATCTATCGGTTTGAACAGGGTCTCTATGGGGTATTTTAAGCAGGGATGTCATAGCCGTAATGTACATGTGATCACTACAAGTTTGTTTTGAGTGTTTAAAACTTTAAACGTCTGTTTTAATATTAAAATACGATGGTGCATTTGAGAGTAAAATTTATATAAATTATACAGGGTTCCCAGCATTGTTTTGTACTTTTTTTTTATGATTTTATGACAAATTTTTCAAATTTTATGACATTTTTTATGACAAGAATTTATTATTTCTAAAGTTATTTAATAAAATAAATGTAATTTTTTAACGGTTTTTTATATAAAAATAAATATTTTTTCTCGCATCAAAATAAATAATTCTGCTATAATATTTTTAATATATGTTACTTTAGTATTTTATTATAATAGGTATTATAATCTCAAAATAAATAAAACCACAAAGGTATACAAATCTGAAATATTGGAGGCTCAAACAATGATTAACATGGGTCTCAAAAAAGCAAAAAAAAATAGTATATATACCTATAGGTACTATTTTTTTTGCTTTTTTAGACCTATGTTAATCATTGTTCAAATTACAGATTTTTTAAGAGTAGTTATGTAGTTATTGTTAAGGTACTTTGATAATTTCTTATTTCCTTCAGAAATAATATTTCTTGTTATTTTTAACTCTGCTTCCTTACTTGCCAAAATAGCAGTGCCGGTTTAAGTTAGTCCGCCGCCCGGTTCTGGCAAAAACACAACGCCCAATGCTTTAAAATATTACTTTTTTAAAAACATTTTTAAATTTTTAAGTCTTACTTTCTCACGTCAAGTGGAAGATTAGGTTGGTTAGGCTGGTATCTAACAGTAAACTTAGTATCCTATAAAATATAAAATGAGCCTTTATAAACAAATTATAAAAACTAATCAAAAGCACTAACTAAAAAATAAAACATTCTTTGGTTTATATAAACAATACTAAGTACTAAGAAAAACTAATCAAAAGTTATAAATAAATAAAACATTATTCTTTGGTTTAAATAAATATTGAGAAATCCTAATACTAACAATTAAAAGGTTTTTTCAAGTTTTATAGTAGCAAATTGTTTTATAACACTTTACATTTATTTCATCTAGCAGGTCTTGATAAATGGACAGAATTGCTAAGGAGTTAAATCTTTCTTGGGGAATTGTATTAGTTTTTTACCCTTTTTAGAGCACCACTTGCATTTGAAACCATTATAAAAAAAAAATCGCAGACAATTATTAATATTCGGAAATGAAGATATTAATTTATTTTCGTATAAAACTTATACTAATTCCAATGGAGTTTCTATTTTTATTTCCGAAAGGGTAAAGTTACCAGTTTCTTGAGTTGGACACATTTTTGAGGAAAAAACTCATCCAAATCCTCTATGAAGATTTATGCTTTTAGATTAAACAAAAATTCAAATTTCTTTGTGCCAGATTTCTAGCTATCATATCGACAAATGATTTCGGATTATAGATTGTCAATTATTAAAATAAAACATATTGTTCGCATTGTTTCTTTTTTGCTTAAACTTGCCTCTGAATTATTTTCTTCAAATTGTAATTTTCTTATGATTATCCGCTTCTGAGCATAATTTTCATAATGACAAAAGATGAGCATTTGTGCTTAAATCCATATTTTGTTTTTGGACTGCTTTATTGGTTTCATTAACCCTTTGCAAAACGTCTATCCAAAAAGTTCAAATTATTCCGTTTCCAATAAATCAAGTTTTTCTGATGGAGAAGCTGCTTTAACTCTAACAACATTTTTCTCATTTGTATCCGTTGTATCCGCCGACGCAGTGTCGCAATAATTTTTTTCTAAATTCCAACGATTAAGTATTTTTTTTTAATTATGGGCGGTACGCGGTACCGCCCCAAAAATATTTACCGCCCGGTGCTATAGTCCCCAAAAAACCCCTGTTAAACCGGCACTGCAAAATAGTATCAATTTTTTCAAGTCCTTCTTTGTGGCTTCCTTAGTAAAGTAATATAGTATAAAAATAAATTTACCTTTCTCATTATTTATTTCAAATTTAAAATTCATTTCCTAACCTAACTTATTTTTCCTTCATAGTATGAAGTTTATACGTCAACAACCAATGCCATATTTAAAACATTTTATTGCGTTTTATTCTACAGGACCGGCTTTAAATTTTATTTTACAAAATTTCCATTTTATAAAAAAGATCAAAGGTGAGAAAATTGTTAAAAAATAATGAAATTTTATGATTTCTATGACAAAATGTGAATTTTATGACATTTTAGGACAATTTAACCAATTTTATGATATTTAAAAATTTTATGACAAACGGGAACCCTGATTATAGTGACAAGAAAGAGACTGGAAGAGCCTTTGACAGGTAAAAATTTATATTATCAATGAAAACTTCAAATTCGCTTTTTAAGGTAATACATCTATTTATATTCAATTACGCGTCCACTCTCTTTCATTGTCTAAGGTACTTTTTATATAATTATACAGATTTTTATCGTCCCATTGGATTGGAAATTGGATTTTATCATATATAATGAAAACCATTATAACCGCAGCGCCCAACAACGTGAATATTGAACTCATTCATGTTGTTAGGAAATAGTGATTTGTCGATTTCAATATTCACTTTGTTAAACCAATCGGTTTTTAAATTTAGAGAAGGCGACTATTATTAAAATTAGTAAAAAGTGAGGTTAACTATTTGATGTCAGATTAATTATTTTTGAAAATCATTTAAATATGTACTAATCGGAGTGGATAAAGTATATACTCGAGATGCGCATTATGTACTTGGATTTTAATATACTAATAGTAGGTACAATAGAAATACTATTACACAATAGAAATGCAATACACGGTAATATTAACCAATAGAAATGCGATACACGGCAATATTGCCTTGGATATCTGACAGATCTAATACGCTAAAGCATCGGGTTTTTGCACGCGCGCGCCATCTGGTGGTGTTCGATAGGATTGTTGACAATTTAAGAATTCTCAACAATACATTTAATCATACAAACTGCACATCATTTTTAAATTAATAAGTAGTTTTTTCACAAAATAGAGGAAAGCAGAAGTCTTACTCGAAAAATGTTGTTCAATTGCACAGCTAAACCGCTCACGTTATTTATCTAAGTGATCATGGTAAATTATTGTGTTTTTAATTGTCCATAAAATTCAAGAAGTAAATCGTTGCATTTTCATGTTTTGCCAAAGAAATCTACCGAAACATAATTTTTGTACAAACATAACCTTCAAATCGAACATTTTTATATTTGAGTCCTCTAAAAAACGCCGACAACTGCATTTTAAACGACAATATATATCTACGAATTTATGGCAACATAATAATAATAATAATGTTTATTAATCAAATCAAATCAAATAATCATTTTATTAGAAATACAACAATAATAAACATAATCAGAGCTGGGAGTATCTTGAAAAAAAGATAGTTGAAAGTAACTTAGATACTTTTTAAAGTAACTTAGATACTTTTTTAGAGAAAATTGGGGGAATTCCAGAATGATTCAAAGTAATTACCTAACCTACAACTTGTTGAATTTTCATAATTTTATAGTTTTTATTCATACTTAGTTACTCAAAAGTATCTTG